TTTTAAAAAAAAAAAAAAAAAAAAACCTAATTAAAATGGATGTCAAATAGGGGCTTAGAATTGTTTGATTTGGTTCAAAATTAAAATATTAACGACTTCTCATAAATTAAAATCTACGATTTTGTACGAGCAATTTAGTGTGAATCAGGGACGGATACAGGGGGCTGGGCTGGGCTGTAGGCCCCCCCCCTACAACAGTTTTTCATGTGTAAATTTTTTTTTTTCGCATATTAGTCCGATTTGAAATTTTGTAGCCCGTTCTTGAATTCAATCCTGGATCCGTTCCTGATGTGAATTGACCAATTTTGCTTCCACCCCTTGTTAGAAGTTTCCAATTATAATCTCTATCCGATTCGCCATGCTAATACGTAAGAACAAAACCAAAAGCATACTCCTAGGGCAAGTTTGGTAGAAGTGCAGTGGACGTAAAAGCGTGAGACGGAACCCTGTATAGTTAGGGAAAAGTTTTTACTATTGGTCCCTCACATATTAATTCAGTAACAAAGTGGTCTTCAATATTTAAAAAGAGATAAAACTAGTCCCCAACATTTTATTATAAGAACAAAATCAACCCTTAACCATGGAAGACAATAATGAATGGACCCAGCAGACAAATCCAGACGCCACGGTATATAACAACATCATCCAATTGTATTCATTTATTGGTAAAAACCCCAATGAGCGTACGACTTTTCCATTTCTGTCATATAGAGAAGTCTGTCTAACGCAAATGCAAAATCCCATCGATTATTATTATTCGATTCTTCTTCCTTTCCAACTCATTCAAGCTTTCAATCGAATATTACCTTCTTTACATTGACATCCTTTTAATGTTTTGCAAGCATCGTTTATTATAATATTTTTTTCGACGAATAATTGTTGTTCAGAAGGTTCCAGATTTGCGAATTCAACAATTGCGCGAAGCAATGCTCAGGTAAGGGCATTAGAAATTGCGGTTTCTTGAATATTAGTTTTATTTCTATTTTCTGATCTACGGCAGTAGAAGATTTGTAAATGTAATTTTGTTGCTCCTTATATATCGCTCGTATTTTCCTCTCTGATTTGCTTATATGTTCATCTATGTGATTTGATTTGTAATTATTGTATAAACTGTGAAAAAAAAAAAAATTCAATTATGCGATGTTGATATTATGAGAGCACAGTTACATATTTGGTTGTAAATTGATCTCTGATCTTGTTCAATAGTGTTACAATCCAAATATATATACTGATATTTGTGAATTTCTAATTATGGAGCCTTAAATTTTCGTGAAGGTTTATCGATTAAGAAATGCATGGTTGTTGAATTAGATAGGACATACAGCTACCAAATAATATTTTAATTTATTTATCAATGCAGATAAGACCTTTCCCGTGAACCTCTGCATGTTAGGTATTCCTGTCTGTATGTGACATTTACTGAAAAGAGCTGAATTTGATGAGTGTATGGATAAGAGGCAACACATTGCGATATTTACTACGGCGAGCCTTCCATGGCTAACTGGGACTGCTGTCAACCCTCTATTTCGTGCAGCATATCTTGCAAGGGATGGCGAGAGAAAAGTCACCTTGGTTATTCCTTGGTTGAAATTGAAGGACCAAGAACATGTCTATCCGAACAACATAACTTTTAATTCAGCGGATGAGCAAGAAAAATATGTTCGCCAATGGCTTGAAGAACGGATTGGGTTCACATCACCTTTCATAATACGTTTCTATCCAGGAAGGGTAAGTGATATTGTTATTATTTAAGTTGAAAGTGAAGCAAGCATACATCCGCTGCTTGTTGAAAGTAAAGAAAGGGCTGATGTGATTATTATGCATAAATGGAGAACCTTGATCTTGTTGAAAACTTATTTTTAGGCTTTTCCTCAGTTGGTCTGGCAAAAATACCATTTCCTTACAATTAGTCGTGTACCTATTCATATTGAAAAGCATACATATTTCAATATTTCCTGATACTTGAGAAATTAAAGCTGATAATCGTTTCCCTTAAGATTTGTGGAGTATGTGAATTATTCGTACCTCAAATTATATCATGGCATCGGAACTGTGGCATGATGGCATCTCCTTCTATTCGCTTCATGTTACCATAAGGCTAAGATAGGGCCATTTACAATGATAGGATATGCTTTTCATCTTTTCTATGTACTGGGAAGAGAGGAAGTGGAGCCTCAGATGGTTTGGAACTGTAAATCCAGGACTGAGAATTTTGCTTTTGCGGAGTCTGTATTCATGGACAACTGAATTCTTCATATTTGTGTACTGATTTTCACTGAGTTTTGGGAGTCTGTTTCTGATGTAGACTTTCTGTGAATCTTCTAGCATATGGATGAGGCACCGCCTTGTTGAATTGTCATATCATTTGTCCATCTTATCTATTAAACAACAGGTATCAGTGGTTATCTGCATTTTATTTGGTTGAAGTCTTGGTATATAGTACAGGGTCAGCCCATCCTTTCCACACCCCATCCTTTCCATGCATCTCTTACATAAATATGGAGACCTTTTTCGGATGTATTGATTCCTCTGCAAAAATATACTTCTCGCTTCTTTGAATATTTGATATTTCTGTTCTATTGTTACTGCATTGTACTGATTTGAACCTAGAGAAGTAAAATAACCCTATCAAATCATTATTTTAAAGTGCTCTTATTATCATGTTGTAGTTCTCTCTTCATAAAAGGAGCATTCTTGCTCTAGGGGATATTACTGAGATCATCCAAGATGAAGAGGCAGATATTGCTGTCCTTGAGGAGCCCGAGCATCTTACATGGTATCATCATGGTAAAAGGTGGAAAACAAAATTTCGTCTGGTTGTAGGCATTGTTCACACCAATTATTTGGAATATGTGAGAAGAGAGAAGAATGGACAACTGCAGGCATTTTTTCTGAAATACATAAATAGTTGGGTTGTCGATATATATTGCCATAAGGTAGGTTTCTAAACAGTTCCTTTTTGAATTATTTATTTATTGTATGCATTAAATTATATTTTCCTTCTGCCTTAAATTAGTTTTCCCAGTATGCCTTCTTTGTATCGAGGTGAATAATAATATTGAAGTCCTTAAACGTGGCATTGTTTTGTTCATTCTCTTTGGATTAGATAGACTGCAGATGTACTAATGGAACTCGAAATTCAGCATGTTTAGTTTTATTAGTTGTTATCTGGAACAGTTGTATTCATGACTTTGTTGTTGTGAAGCTGGATATTCATGACATCAAGGAGACCGTCTTGGAGTTTCTGTATTTTTTGGTTCCATTTTGATTGTTTGTGAAAACCAGTTGCATGTATAATCATCATCTTGCAAAGCTTTCATAGCAAGGAAGAAACCTTGCTGACAGAGTTTGAAATTTCTCTTGAATGGTTTCCCTATATTAAATTTGTGGATATTTGAGGCTTTACCATTGATTGTACCTTGACGATTGGCGAATGACAAACTTGATCTTGAGATGAATTTTTTAAATTTCTAGTGGATTGCATCATTTCTCTTAATAAAGAAAGAGATAAGGTCTGGAATGTATATGCCAGTCATTTTACAAGCGCCAGGCAATGTCAAGGGAAATATGTTAATTTTATGTATGACTATTACTAGTTTAGAAAAAAAATATTAGTTTATTCTTTAAGATTAAGTTTAGAGAATAACTGAATATGAAGCTGTAGGAAATACTATAAAATTTTAGTGGCAAGAGTTAATTGCTGAATTTCAGGAAGTTTTTCTGTTGCATCTCTCTGATTGCTGGTAAATGGTAATAAATTATTCAACTGCTAGCTGTTGAGTATGACTTGCCTAACACTGGCAGGTGATAAGATTATCGGCTGCCACCCAAGACCTTCCGAGATCTGTTATCTGCAATGTCCATGGGGTCAATCCTAGATTTCTTGACATTGGCATGAAAAAGAAAGAGCAACAGTGGAATGGAGAGCAGGCTTTCACAAAAGGCACATACTATATTGGGAAGATGGTGTGGAGCAAAGGCTTCAAAGAGCTACTTAAACTTCTGCATGAACATCAAAAAGAGTTAACAGGTCTTGAGGTTGATTTATATGGCAGTGGACAGGACTCTGATCAAGTTCAGGAAGCTGCCGAGAAGCTGGAAATACCAGTCAGGGTTCACCCTGGTCGTGATCATGCTGATTCTTTATTTCACGAGTAAGACCTTAACGGCCGCTATCTGCTAATATTCGTTTGATGTAAAAAATCCCTCTAGGAAAAAAAAAATAAATCGAAAACAAAAATGTACAACTATCTGCGGTTGATTCAAACTTATGCCTGTGATAAATAGTAAATAGTCAATGCCATTCAAATTCTAGGGCTTATTTAGTTTTTTTTTGAGTTCCCTTCCCCTTTCTTTGTTTTTATCTTTATAAAATTTCCTCTCTTTTGCCTTGGGGGAGAAGTTGCTGTGAAGAGGGTATTGATAAATCACGAGGCAATCTTGAAATTCACTTGAAGGTGGCTAAAAACCATATAATACTATGGTTTCACCGATCTCCGTAGTGTTCGCTGTTATATATTTTCAAATAAATCAATTCCCTCAGAGGGATGCACCATGAAGTCCTACCAGTTATTGCTGCATCTGATAGTGCAGCGTATTGTGCTGTCTATTTTCCCAATTTGCTGATTCTTCAAATGTAGGGTTTGGCTGAATTTTTTCTTCAACGATTTGATTCCTTGAATTTGCCTAGTGTTTATTTCTCTAAACTTATTGATAATGGTACTTTCACTAAGGAAGGTCATCCAAGGCATGTGGGATAGAAATTTGTTCGAGTTGGAAGATCGTGAGGATGTATCTTTCTCAGAAGAAGTTCTCCCTAAATTAAGATTCACAAATATCTACACTCCTGTATGAAACTGATTAGTCATTTTCCTTTTGGGGTTTATGTCTCTCTCTCTCTCTCTCTCTCTCTCTCTCTCTCGCAGCATAATTTTGCAAGTTTCTTTGAAAAGAACGTATTGAAGTTCAGTGAAAAGAAAAAAGAATGTTCACGCTTGTTCTTCCACCTCCATTCCCTTCTCCCCTAAACGTGGCTTGCTTGCTTTCCAGTTGCATTCCTTAAGGATTTTAATTTCTATGTGAATTTTAATGGCATATGTAGTATTATAACCTTGTTACCCATACACTGGTTGGTTACATAGTTAATCTCAATGTTGCTTTTTCTTCTCTTCAATCCAGCTACAAGGTGTTCCTGAATCCCAGCACCACAGATGTAGTCTGTACAACCACAGCTGAAGCATTAGCAATGGGCAAGATAGTGGTATGTGCTAATCATCCCTCGAACGATTTCTTCAAGCAGTTCCCAAATTGCCGAACGTATGATGACGGCAACGGGTTTGTTGAAGAAACACTCAAGGCATTGCAAGATCAGCCTGCTCCCCAAACTGATGCTCAAAAGCATGAGCTATCTTGGGAGGCAGCTACAGAGCGGTTTCTGGAAGCTGCAGAGCTGGACGTGGAAGCTGCAGAGCTGGACGTCATGCCTACAAAGAAAGTGAACAAGACATCCTCAAAGCTCTTCATGTCCACATCTTTCAGTTTCAGGAGGAATTTCGAGGATGCATCTGCAATGGTACATTTTCTGGGAACTAGATTTCTAAGTTCACAACCGGATGAAGAGCAATGTAAAGAGGTTGGATTGTCAGTATCTCCCAAAAAACGTTCATACCCTTCAAAAAGATGGGTTTTCTAAGATTGATTCCTGTATTTTTGAAATATTCTGCAAATTTGGTTCTCTGTCCTACTTCTCAGCACCCTCCATTTTGATGGCAGTGATACGATGAATAGAAAGTACTCCGAATCTTTACATGGGTTTGAGCAATTTCATTATCCGAATAGAGCTTGACGTTGTTTGCATACATTTTATGTAGAAGTTGAAGTTAGTTTCTTTTTAGGGAAGATCGGGTTTGAGCAATTTCATCATCTGATATAGGGAAGATCGTGTTATCCATTTGTATTCGTAACATGTACAATGATTGATCACTACCTACTAGTTTGTTTGATTTCACCTTCTAATTGTAACTACTTGTAGAAGTGGATTTGACCAACTTTCCCATTCTAGGTTGGCCAAGAAGCCTCTCTCTTTCTCTGTTAGACGTTTGTTTTGATATTTTTTATTTTCGTTCATTCCTTATACCAGAGAATGGTAGCTGCATTTGACGTATTTTTTAAATTAATTTATTATTATTATTATTATTATACAATGAAGCTGGCAGCAGCCAATGAAGATTTCTTGTACTTTCTCTGAAAACACATGACCGACAAACTTGATTTCCAGTCTCAGACGTGCGAAATCAGCAGTTGATAATTGAAGTATCAAGAGGCAACCATACTTGCCATCCAAAACAGCAATACAACCACGTAATACCATCAAGTATTAAATTTTGAGATCATAGTAGAAAAGTCGACTGATAAGTCACCCTGGTGTCCATAAAACCGTACATGATGTATAAGATATTTACTTTATATGTCCCATAGCGAATAAATTATTTTACATATTCAAGTATCCCCTTCCATTGTTGTCCCGAAGAGTAAACCATAAGAGCCTTCACCATTACTTGCCTGATTTTATTGCAAGACTAGCCCTATATTTTGTCATCTACTAAGATCATTTCCAACTTGCGCAATTTCTATGTCAAAATGGCGCAACTTTCACACCATCTTATTTTGTCATCTACAATTTATTATACTAAATGTTACACCAAATAAACAGCGTTCCCCTCTATTTTTTTAATAATTAATTTATTTCAAAAACATTTAATTGCATATTCTATTATTAATAAAATTACTCAATTGTAATGAGTAATTTTATTTAATATATTCAATAGATATTATTTATTACTATTAAAATAAATATAAATTAAATTAAATCATTAAATAATAAAAAGGTATAGAAAGGTATATAACAAGAACTAATATTTGTTGTGGTATTAAACGAAGGACAAAATGAAAAATAATAAAATTCTACATATTACACCAAATGAACAATGATGCATCAAAGTTGGTATAACACTATTCATTACATCAATTTGATGTCAAAATTGAAGTTGAGTTGGAGAGAAAATTTCATGCCAAAATGACATTTAAATATTTTATGCCAAATTGGTGTTGGGTTGGAGATGGCACAAGTGTCGTTACTATTAACTGGAAGATCACTCAATTCATGGAACCTACCGTGATCTTAATCACCAATTAATTATTTGTAATGTCATTGCTAAGCAATGCTGCTTAATATACCATTTCTCTTCGTAAGAAAGTAAACAACACATTTCTAATTCGTCCTTTCTTATAATTTGAAATGCTACTGCTATAAAAAAAAAGTTAAAAAAATAAAATAAAATTAATGCATTTTGAGATATAATTGCTATTGAAAAGCAAACAATTTTGCAGGGAAATTCATCTTATTGTGAAACTCTTATCTCGACCAATTTATTATTTATTCTACATTTCTTATTTCTTCATTATAGTAAGTGGTTTGAGTGTTACTCTGCCGGCTTAATCTCGTAGATTTAGTCTTGTAGGAGTTGTCTTTGCATGTATTTTTTCTGCCCAGGTTTCTGCATTTTAAATTAGAAAATTAGAATCTAATATTGGCATGAAGATTTTCCAACTAAGTTCACAGGCTCCATCAAACTCAATCCAAATACACTGTCCACTGCCTCAAGTATTCACTCAACTAAGAATCGCATATTTTCCAATAATCTCAGGCCTCGCATTCAAAAACTGAGTCGTAAGTTCATTACAGGACGTTCGAAAGCAGCAGAGACAAATTTCTGTATCTGAAATGAAGGAGGAAATTCTCCGAAAACTCCTCCCTGTCCGTCCTCTAGAAAGAGAAGTACTTGATTGATCAAATCCACCTCGCTAAAATGCGACAGCCTGAGAGTCCACTGTCCAACCATCAGCCATAAAGCTATATAATCTTCAGCAGCACCATAAATTTACTGAAATGTTCTGGTATGAACTTCCATATGACTGAGGCAAATAACCTGTGTAAGAAAGGCAGTGATTCATCAGCTTGTCTGATGAGATGGGACATCAAGTAAATATCTATCACATGGTAAAGGTCATTGTTGAGGCTCAAACCTGTGATCTATTATGTGCTCCCAAAATTCGGTGAAAGTCGCATTTACTAAAATGTAACTCTTCTAGTTGGGGTGTTTTTACTGGATGGTGACAATTGGCTTGCTTCTAGGTGTTGGATGATATTCTGGATGGTTTATCATTTAACTTGGCCGCAACTCTTTGTTGGGCATAATCATAATTTTTGATTTTCGTCTTTTGAGAGAGAAAATCACCACCCTCTAATTAGGGTTCATTTTGTTGCTTTACTCTACTTGAAAACCTCATTCGAGGCAATAAATTTTGTAACCCTAGTGTTGTACTTGAAATTTGAGTGATCTGTGTGAAAGAGTCCGAGTGATCTTTCTATTTAGTATGACTTTAGATTAGGGTTTGGAGATTTGAGTGTTCTTGGTGAAATATTCCTTCGATTTTCAGAGTGATTGAAAGATAAGTCTTCAGTAGACTATATCTATTGTAATATTGAACGATCTTGTAACCTTTTTCGCGATTTTTGGGCTATCTAGTGCAACCGAGCATATATCCAATTTGTTGGATGCTCGACAGGGGATTAAGAGTTAGAAGCGGTCGTCGAACCACTGGGGCTTCGGCGAGAAAATTCCTTGTGTTCGATTTTTTAATTTTTGCAAGTTTTACTTTCTATCATTGTATCTTGAGTTTAATATCGTGTTTCTCTGGACATTTTCAGTTGTATCAGAGCTAGAACTGAGAACAAGACACCTGGATCTTGAAAAAAGTGTGAGATCAATTGTAGATCTGAAATTTTTTGGAATTGCTGTTAAACAAAACTGAAAGATATCGAGTTTTTATAAACTCGTTGGGTAAGATCTTTAATTTTTGTAAAGTTTACTTTCAGAAATTAGAGTTTCTTGATTTTTCCCTTAATTTACCATACATTGTAACTTCCTGGAGATTAATCTTTGTCCAAAGGCTCCTACAAGGCTTTGGGAATATAAGATAAATCCAGTACATGTGTTTATATGGAGGATCTTGAAGGATAAATATCTGAAAAATAGAGTAATAATCTTTGTTTGCGTGGTTTTGCCATACATGTTCCTTGATTGAGATTAAAACTTGCTAAATTTGTGAATTCTTGTTTTACTGTGTTATCGTGATTTGTGATTGACACTAATCTGTATTCTTGTTATTCTTTGCAAATATGTGAAAATGGTCTTCAATATGTGGAATCAGAAAATGAAGGTCATTCTAATGTAAATGAGATGTGTTAGGGCATTAAAAGATAGTTGGCCCATTGATTTACTCCCTGCAAAGAAAACTGAACGTGCATAAGTTGCTTGAAGCTCTATTTTCTTGTACTTATCAGAAAATGTGATAAGAACTATTGGCGAAACAAAATCTTCTTCTGAATTGTGGACTAAACTTCATGCTAAATATATGACTAAGACTACTCCAAATAAATACTATATGTTAAAGCAATTCTTTTCTTTTAAAATGGATCCCTCAATTGATTTGGATGAAAACTTGAAACAACCGAGCATATATCCAATTTGTTGGATGCTCGACAGGGGATTAAGAGTTAGAAGCGGTCGTCGAACCACTGGGGCTTCGGCGAGAAAATTCCTTGTGTTCGATTTTTTAATTTTTGCAAGTTTTACTTTCTATCGTTGTATCTTGAGTTTAATATCGTGTTTCTCTGGACATTTTCAGTTGTATCAGAGTTAGAACTGAGAACAAGACACCTGGATCTTGAAAAAAGCGTGAGATCAATTGTAGATCTGAAATTTTTTGGAATTGCTGTTAAGCAAAACTGAAAGATATCGAGTTTTTATAAACTCGTTGGGTAAGATCTTTAATTTTTGTAAAGTTTACTTTCAGAAATTAGGGTTTCTTGATTTTTCCCTTAATTTACCATACGTTGTAACTTCCTGGAGATTAATCTTTGTCCAAAGGCTCCTACAAGGCTTTGGGAATATAAGATAAATCCAGTACATGTGTGTATATGGAGGATCTTGAAGGATGAATATCTGAAAAATAGAGTAATAATCTTTGTTTGTGTAGTTTTGCCATACATGTTCCTTGATTGAGATTAAAACTTGCTAAATTTGTGAAATCTTGTTTTACTATGTTACCGTGATTTGTGATTGACACTAATCTGTATTCTTGTTATTCTTTGCAAATATGTGAAAATGGTCTTCAATACGTGGAATCAGAAAATGAAGGTCATTCTAATGTAAATGAGATGTGTTAGGGCATTAAAAGATAGTTGGCCCATTGATTTACTCCCTGCAAAGAAAACTGAACGTACATAAGTTGCTTGAAGCTCTATTTTCTTGTACTTATCAGAAAATGTGATAAGAACTATTGGTGAAACAAAATCTTCTTCTGAATTGTGGACTAAACTTCATGCTAAATATATGACTAAGACTACTCCAAATAAATACTATATGTTAAAGCAATTCTTTTCTTTTAAAATGGATCTCTCGATTGATTTGGATGAAAACTTGAACAGATTTACAAAACTTATCCAAGACTTGGCCAACTGTGATGAAAAAAATTTAAAAGATCAAAAGGCTGTAGTCCTATTAAACTCAATTAGTGACGTGATTTAAATCTGAAAAGTCCTATTAAACTCCATTAGTGACGTGATTT